CCAGTGAAATATATTTATGTTTGTGGTTGTAATGTGACAAAATATGGAAAAGTTCAAGGGGTATGAATACTTTTGCAAACCACTGTAATCCTGTAATCTAATTTGCAATCCATTCCACTTGATTTTACTCACACCAAGTGCTTACATGGGTAGGTAAAAGTAGGACAACCTGTTAAAATACACCAGAATGCAGTAAATGGCATCTACGCCCCCCCCCACCCCAAAAAACAAACAAACAAACAAACAAACAAACAAACAAAAGCAAACTCACAAAAAAGGTGTAGCCTACACAGATTTTTTCTTGTTTGACTGTGTGGCGAAAATGCTTCACGACCTGGCTTTATTTTTAGCGTGTACATGTGAAGTAAGGAAAAAGTGTGGCTCATGCTCATTGCTGTTGCCATTTTTGCTCCTCCATGTTGCCACAGATGCTAACACTGGATGGGATAAACTAGGCTTACTCATATCCAACTCTATGCTCCCCCACCACACACACACACACAACTCCGAGTTCCTACGAAGATCTCCAAACTTTACAGTTTCTGAGAAAGTGGATGGATTTCATTTGGCTGAGGTTCTTGAACAGTTTTAGCCCACACACAACACAAGATTTATGAACTAAAGCTGACAAATAATGAACAAAACCTTCAGAGCCATAATAGGAAACATCCTGAATGTGACTGCAGGGCAAGAAAAATGAAAGCAACTGAAGAACAAAACTATTTGGAAATTAAACATGCCTTTAAAAAAATACGTTGTGCATGTGTGTGTCCTGACTTTACATTTAATTATTTTTCATTTTTTTATTAGTCACTAACCTTTCTTTTTGTACACTAGGCAGATATAATGTGCTGTAAAGGTCAACATTTGTGTAGCTTTACAAACGCTTTTTTCAATTCAGTTCTTTAATAAATAATAAAAGGTAGCCAGCTGCTATTTTAGTGCTTTTTTTTTTTTAAATTGTAATAGTAAACCATTTAACTTTTATGTGATTTACAGGGCAGGGTTTTAGAAGGTGTGGGCCCCTGTACCTTTGGGGTACATTAATACAGCTTTTGGGTCCTGAGCCACTGACCTGGTAAGCCTGAGGTCTTGGTGATCATGTTTCGCAAACCAGAAAACATCTTCAAAATACTTGATCAGTCAATAGAGCACACTTGCATCCCATAAGAAACATCCCTAAAGAAACCTACAGATATTGTTTTTATGTATATTCTCTCTTTTCAGAACCTGTTTCAAGAGCAACTCTTTTTATATTTGGGAGAACACCACTCTCTCAGAGAAAAAAGCTAATCATGAAAATGCTTAGTAAAGAGTGAAGTCTGCCATCTAATGGTCACTGGAGTGACAAACAAAAATAAGCAACCATTTAAATGCAGCAAAATGTGTTCCCTGTTCCATTTCCCTACGAATAAATTGGGAAGAAGAAAATATTCTTACGCTTTATCTTTTTTAATTCAGTATAATCAAAAAACAGTGATGTACAGTACAAATGTTTGAAAGAGAAACAATCAGGCCACCTCTGCACATCAGCTAAAATGGGAAAAAAAAATTACCAATAATGCCAAAATAATAAAATAAACAGGTCAAGTAAAATTTCAGAGGAGAAAGTGCATTAAGTGGATCAAACACCTCAGCTACAACCAGCGAGGATAAAGCAGTTGAACAGTACGGTCATATTTTGAAGAGGAGTCCATGCTTGTGTAGCACCAGTCGGTTACATTGCATACCTCTGGGTCCACTCTCTGGCCAATTTGTTGTACCTTAAACACAATAAAAAAACAACAATGAGGAAAAGCAAATAAATCAGATTAGAAAGCTAAGTTCTTTGATACCAACTTTTGCCTGTCTGATTTGTAGATGTTTGCGATTTCGGGGACCAGAGGATCATCTGGATTTGGGTCACACAGCAAGGAGCTTATGGATAACAACACTAGGAAGAAAAAAATAATAAAACAGAAATGTTTCACTTTTCTTGTTTATAAAAAATGCAGCACAACCCTGTGATTTTCCTCAAAAGTCAAAAAATTTATAGCATAATTTTATAGCATGTCAAATAAAAATATTTGCACAATTTGCTCTTAAGCTTATCTGACCGTCACCAAGAGGAAAGAAAGCATTCGCCCTCATGAGCGTGAATGCAGAAGTGCATTTTGTATTGCTTTATCAGTGAGCGTGCACGCGAGAAGGTGTGAGCTGCTGAAACTTGCTGCTTCTTGCTCTTTTCTGCCGAGCTGCACAGTATGTTCAAGAACGCACGGTACTGTAAAGAACAATCATTTAGGAGCTCTGTGTGCCRCTCTTGATGTCCTTTTCAAAACAGCAACCATTTTCGCACGGTTTAGCCCCAAAGCAGATGTTCGTTCGCACCCTCTTCCTCACGTTTCGACATTTCAAGAGTGCACTTTCAGCACAGAACCTCCCACTGTGAAATTGTGTGCCRAGCTGTAAAAATTCACAGAAAAATGTCTCCACCTTCCCCTCGAAAATCTCAGGTGTCTGTGTGTGAAAACAGCTTGGGTCGAGCAGCTGCTCACCTCTAATTTATTTATCTGTCATTTTAAAATAAATCTTGGGTACCTCTCGTACAAAGCGCTGCCAGAAACGTAGCGTTCTGCTCAGTACAGGTATAAAAGTAGGTTTTAATTACCTCTTGATATTGTCAGTGCAGGTGACCACTGTGACCTCAAAATGTCAAGGCAAATGCTTCCATTGCTGTTTATGTTTGGGTGGTAGATTTTTGTTGTAAAGGCAACCTAAAAGCAAAGCACAAAGGGGAAAAAAACAGTTGTTGACTATGAATATGGTTGGCTCTTTGTTAATGGACACAGCAATTAGTTTACGCTAGAAATAGCCAGAAAACAGTAGCAAATGCATTCGAATTACAAAAGGAAAGCATTCTAACCTTCGGTGGYTTAAAGGGGTAGTCGGTGGGAAAATGGACAGAAAGGAAAAAAACTCCTCCATGGTAAGGGCTGTCGTTCTAAAACAAAAGCAAACTGTAGGTAAAAATACAACTAATATTTGTGTCTCAACAATGCTTCACTGAATAACAATGGGGTTGTGTGTGTSTGTGTCAGTGTGTCTCCATACATCACAGAAAGAGCTGTAAAGTCAACATAAAACACCATTGTCTGGAGATCCAGAAGCAACTTAGAAAAAAAAAAAAAGAAAAATACTTACTGGTCCAGTGATGGTGGCTTGCCAGTGAAACACTAAAAGAAAAAAAAAWAAATAAATAAAACATAAGTGAGGCACAAGATTTATATTGCAACTCAGTTCCAAATAACCACTATTGAACTTAACGAAAGAAAGATAGGGAAATGCAGTGGTGGGCAAACTTTTAGACGTTTCAGGGAAACGTCTAAAAATCACTGCTTTAAATGTTGACCAGCACCTCAAGAGCTTCTCTGAGCTTCATGAGACATTTTCAAAATATAATATTGACTCRGCTTTATGTTTTTTTTAGTATTGCCTCTGGAAGCTATTGATTCTTTGCCATTTATTTGTAAATTATAAATCAGATAACATGTATTAAAGCAGTGATTCTCAGCCCTAGTCCTCAAGGACTCCTTTCTTGCATGTTTAGATGTTTCCCTGATTCGACACAACTGGTTTGAATAGCTGAGTGATTAACGATCTTCTGAAGACCTGCTRAATAGCAGGGGAACAAGTAAAACATGCTGGATAGGGGGACCTGAGGACCAGGGTTGGGAACCACTGGATAAGTGACACACATGTGAACAGAATGATCGACAGCTTTCACCRTCAGCTGTTGATCAATAACATTTAAAGACCTCAGTTMGTGCTTCTAAATTTAGTCTATAAAATTAGCAAGTGCTAATCCACTAATAAATTGTAAAAAAAAAATAGCAAAACGCCCTAAAGCACTAATCAGGAAATTAGTTCCCCTATTAGTGCTTTAGGGGAACTGTGCCCACCACTGGGGAAAAAAAGACATGAAACCTGATACACAATCACACACTTACAGTCTTCTCCCACGGGTCCAGCTGAGCATGAAGCTGGGGGGTCYCTCTGTAAATCATTCAACTCCTGTTTAAAAATAAAAACAATCAATGTCACACTGAGGAGCTTTGTTCACATTTAATTAAGCTAACTGATGGCGCACACCTCGAAACGCTCTGCAGCTTTGTCCTGATTGTGTTGAAGGCTGATTATTTATTTTCTATCAAAATGAACATTTTGGGTAATTGACAGCCAACATGAAAATAGGATCCTACTACGTAAACAACTAAGGACACAATCCTGGACCATCATCCATCGTCATCGCTCCTGTCCACCAGGAGTGAAAGCTGATAAAAAACAAGTTAAAAAAGAGGCCAATTTGTCAAAAGTTCGAGTGCGTCACCACCGGACAATAACACAACTTAAGAACCGCAAGAAGTCGTCAGAAACACACACAACAACAATAATAATAACAATAATAATAATAATAATAATAATAAAACAAACTAAATATAAACGGGGCTACATTAAATCCAACACGTTGAGGCGTTTCCGTCGCACAGCTTCTTCCTGTTCTGTTTGTACACTAAATAAATTAGGAAAAGACGACTATTCTCACCTTCTGTATTCTCTTCAGAGCCATGACAGTTCTTTAAGAGCGGCTTGGAGAAGCTACAATGTTAACTCAGACAGCTGTCAGCTGCGTTTGCTTTCTGCCGACGCGTTATTTGTTTTGAAAAAGCGATCAGCTCTTTTGTTTCCGCGTTTTTGTTTGACGACGAGACCAGACCGGTGCATTGTGGGAAGTGGAGTTTTTAAACCACTTTTTTTTATTTAAAGGAACAGCGCATTAAAATATCAGTAAAAAATGATGATGATGATGATGATGATGATGATGATGATGATGATGATGATGATGATGATGATGATGATGATAACAGAAGTAAGATACATCTCAGGGCGCTATAATGTATTAGCATTAAAATATTAAAAGTGATTTACTCATTGTGGAGTAATGTGTAAATGCTGATGCAGCATTCATGTTTTCTGTTTTTCTTTCCCCCCTTTGCTAGGCTACTACTTTTAGACATCCTTCTGGSAGGACTCCAAGCCTTTCCATCTTTCTTTTGTTATCCACCACTGAGATAATAACTTATATAAAATATTTTAATTTTTTTTTATCTGCAGTAGGCAAAACTATTGGATTATTGAAAATTGGCATAGGCAGATGCTAAAATGACTTTAAAGTGCTTTTCTGACCCTGATTTGCAGTGCATTTATGAAATGAGGTAACATGAGTTTGTCCCAAAGATTAAGAGTTTCACACTTTTAAATACCCAGCATGTACAGTATCTCTCACCAAGTACAACTTTGCAATCAGATCCTCTTCCCTGATTAACTTAAACAATATTTCCCCCAAGGTGTTAGGCCTACCCACTGCCTCCGATACCATGTCCCAAACAGATGACACAGAAGTATTAATAATGATGCAAAAATGAATGGACACCAGTTGACTCACACAAGATTTAATTATCTGTTGCTGTTTAGCTTGTTAAGTGTTTATTGTTACAAAGTTGTTATGACAGCAGATCTGTGCGTTTTTATTCCTACAGCTCACATGGAGACAGATTGCATGTAGATAATGAAGACACATACAGGAAAAAAAAAAAAGGCCAAATCTGCCAAATTTCACGCCTGGACAGCAAATTTCAAAACCACCTGCAACTTTAAAAAACAAATCCATAGCACCATAGTTCCCCAGATCTTTGCTTCTTCTTCATTTTTTTGGAAAGATCTTTTTTTAGGCTGAAAAATATTTACTCAAGTAAAGTACAGATACCCAAAAATTCTACTTAAGTATAGTAGAGAAGTATTTGTACTTAGTTACTTTACAACTCTGAATATGAGTTTGTGAGATTTACAAATCAGTGCATTTAAATTTTACACAATATACCAACATTTAGAATTAATTTGTAAATCAAAGATTAAACTATGCGATGGTAAAGGGATCTTTTAAACTGCTGTTAGTTGTTACATTTCTTTATTTGATAGTTGTATTTCTCCTTTACCTTTTTCCTTTTACTGTCCTTCTTAGAAGCCTTGTTGACGTTTCCCATCCCCTGCACCCCCCCTCCCCGCGCCTCCTCTCCACCTCCCCTATTTAGTGGTTTGTCCCAGGTGTCTCCTGTCCCCGTCCAGCATCTCTGCTCAAACGTCACATAAAACTCCCAAAGTCATCCTGGATCCGGAGCATCCCACGCAGGAGGCAGAAACAAAAACCCCTCCTCTCAGGACATGTGGTCCTGTTGGTCCATTGAGACGTGAAGCAGGTGTGTGATGATGATGATGATGATGATGATGCATTAATTCCTGAACTGCAGGGCCGTCCCGCCAAGCCTGGAGACATTTGGAGGGATGTGGTGGGACGATCAGGCTGGAGGAGATTGACGGGGCGGGTGGGGTCATATCTGGGCTGAAACAACCTGCTGCTGCCACACTATGGCTCTGATTGCAGGACTCAACCGTCCCCCACATCTAACTCACTCTGCCCCTCACACTTTCTTACACATTACACACAGACACACACTCCTGATTATCAGTCTTTTTAGAAAGATCATAAAGAAAGGAATGTTATTCACGGCTGACCCCCACACCCCCCCACACACACACACACCATTTGTTATATGAATTTCAGTTCTAATAAGGTAGACTTTAAAATGGATTATCTTCCAGAAAATACTTGTTTTCAGCCTAGTTCTGTGTGCCATTTCCTTTTTTTTTTCACAACAAAGAGTTATTTTATATCCAGCTGATGTTAATTTATTAACAAGAGACAGAATACAATAAAATTGCAAAAAAAAAAAATGTTCAAAAACATTATTTTGCAGTTATAAATTTATGGCTTCATGAGTGTTACAAAGTTAAGATTTATTTTTAGCTGTGGGGAAAACGTTTTCATATCAGAACAATCTCAGTGATTGACCAAAATCACAAGTTCAGGCCTACTGATGCTACACCATAAGTAGCATTTATTGTTTTTATAGCCAAGTTTATATTTATTGCTGAAACTCAACCCAGCAGATTTTCTCCAAGGACTTTGTTTTAAAAAAGAAAGAATATTAAATAGCTATTGGTTAGCAAATGAGTCATTAAGCAGAATTTAATGAAACTCTTAAAAAGTACAACTGATTTACCCAAATCAAAATGGTCACTACAGCTGACTGATCTTAGGAAACAGAAATGGCTGAAGGTCAGTCAATTTTACAAATATTGAGCTAATTGTTGCTGTGGTAGTGACTTGGTAGTAGCTGAGAGTATTCTTCCCACAATCTCTCGGCGCCCACACATCTCGCGAGATCTCAAAAACATTTGTAYGATTTTGACCATAACCAGTTATGATCTCATCTCAGCGACTATTAGAGGGTGGGGTGTTTATGTATTTTTATTGTTGATTGCAAAAATGTTTTATTTTGTATTGTTTTTATTTTTCTGTTATTTTCTTTTCTTGTTTTTTTTTATTTTTGTTGGATGCTGTTTTGTTTTTATTATTAGAAGGACTGCAGATGTAAACTAGCCTTAGTCTAAATCTGGTGCAATGCATCAAATGTTTTTATGTTTATGTTTTAATTGCACATAATTCATTCATTCATTCTCATTCATTCAAATGTGGCTGGGCCCGATATGCGTTTCTCCAATAAAAGTCAAGTCTTTCATTTTTATATGGTTTTTACTCTCAAAGTAATAAATAACAGCAAATTTTCAGTTTTGAAATAACTACGTTACTCCCCCACTTCCCCTCCAAACCGGTTGTAATTTATTCCTCACACGCTATTGGTCGCAGATCGGCGCGCGCTCCCGGGAGCTCGGAGGTGACGCGCACGTGCTAGTGAGCAGCAGCAGCAGAAGCAGCAGCATCGCTCTGATGGGAGGAGAGAGGAGGAGAGGCTTTACACACCGAGCCTCCCTCGAATGTCGGCTTCCTCCCGCTGCCAATGCAGACCCCTCGCATTCCCATGTATGCCAGTTGACACAGTGAACTTGACGGACCAGGCTTCCACCCCTGCGCGGATTCAGGAGTCCTAAAAGCGGGACTGTTTGTTTTCTTGTTCAGGTAAGCCTTCCTCCCTTTCCTCCTCTTCCTCCTCTTCTCCTTCGGTGACCGTCTTCTCGGGTTGTGCGTTTTGTGTGGATTTACGTGCTCTTCGAGGGATGAAGACGATAAGGAGCGGTAGCTGTCCGAAGTGCTGAAAGGGCATCAGATGGCGGTTATAAAAAAAAACGCGATTTACGGTCCTTACACTAAAACAGATTGGATGACTTCGCTATTTAAATGCTAGAGGCGATCCATCTGCAGACTAAACCTTGCAAGGAAGCCGTGTGGGTGTCAACGGGAGTGGGGGGGGGGGGGGGGGGGGGGGGGGGGGGGGGGATGATGAAGCTGCACACGATGTCGGTACATTTGCAAAGTCTTGCACATTTTTTTTAAACAATGGCTGCTCCACTCTCAGATGGATGTATCCAAGCTGCATTGGAGAGTACCCTGCCTGCTCCGGGCACGGTGTGTTGTGTTACTGCATTTACTGCTGCCAGGCTCTTTGCCTCACCTTATCTTTGTATTTCAGTAATAGGACGCATCCATAGTAGGTGCCATGTAGTGCGTGAGGCATCCTCCAGTGTCAACAAACAGTAAAATGTGTCTTAGATGCACAGTGAACTCATCTGAGAGGCTAATAAATGATACATATATATAAAAKTTTCAAGTTAAACTTTTGCCTCATTTGTCATTATTAGGCTACCAATCAGGTTACTATAGTAGTGCTTAAAACAACTATATTTCCTGATCAATGCCCTTGTCTAGACCTTGTACAGTGTGAACATATTGCCAAACTGGAAGGTCTGCATGTGTGAAAAAGCCAAATATGTAGAAGCACCATCCATGCTGCCATTCATTGACAATAATTGTATTATTGGCGAAAGGTAAAGACGTGTTGCGCTCGAGCCATATTGTCCTTTTTTTTAATAGGGGCCAAAATCTCCTCTCTTGTTCCGCAACAGGAGCACCTGACATTTTCCCCGTGGCAGATATACTCACTGGATCATGGCACAGACCAATAGCAGCGGGCAGGGGACCAACGGGGTGGCGGATGAGTCCCCCAACATGATAGTGTACAGGAAGGTAAGTGCCGCTGCTATTTTTAGTTTGTGTGAGGGAGTGTGAGTGTGCGTGACTCTCTCGCACTGGCGTTACCTGACGATGAGATGGAAATTGCTTATATGGCAAACGCATGACTTTTATGAAACAAAGGAAGGGGTGGAAACAATGTCCATCACGCTGCAAGAGGTGAATTTCTTCACTGTTAAATCTTACTAGAGGTAATTCGGGGAAGGGGAGCGAGTGAGAAGGCACCTTAACCCGACACTGGTCCAACATTAAACAGGTTAATGGGATAATAATCTGCATGGATGAAAACATTTGTTTACTCTGAAGCTTGAAGACCAGCTATAGGGACTTCAGGAAGATTAAAGGCCGAGCATTCCTTGATGTAATGCGTGCACCGATTGCAATTGTCTGGCTGATCACGATATTTAAAAAGCCTCACCTAGTACCGTAATTCCGATTTTGGCCCATTTTGATTCTTTTTAGTGAGTGCCACTGTCAGGTGTTATAAGGTCACAATACACCTTCCAATCTTTTTTTATTGGAAAACATTGAACATTACCCTTGAAACAAAACAAACATGTTTTAAGTGGACAACAGACCTCTCTCACAGCAGAGCAAAAGAGGACAGTGGTTGATTTTCCGATGTTTGCAGATGTGGATAGATCGGTGGATAAGATCGGCTTACGAGTAGTATTTGGAACATGTGCTGTGATTGACTCTGATTTACAACCACGCCAAATTTGAGCTCAGTATCTGTAAAATTCGCTGCATAGTCATTTTCATGTTTTCCCATGTTAATACACCGTAGTGGTCATCTTGAATTGGGTTTGTTTTAAAAGTTAATCACTTGTGGACGTGCATCCGGTGATTACTTTCTGCAAATTTCATGAAAAGTCATCCTGTGGTTTATTAAATATTTTTGATAACAGACAGACACATGAACACAGACACACACACAGAGATGTGCAACATTATTGTCTGTCTTCACTCCTTGTGTACCTTTTATATGACCTTTATTATTCCTTCATGACAAAAACCACAAAGGTAGATCTAAGATTAACCAACATACCCATAGGCCATTTAGTAAATTGCTTTTTACAAGAAGACTCAGTTTCCTGGTGTCAGATTTACAGTTCAGTGGTAGCAAATTTTCAGACCTTTTAATATAATCATGTATTCCTTCAAACAAGTGTGATAAATACCACCAAACGTTGCTCTAAATGAAGCAATAATTTGCCCCTTATACTTGTGGGGTTAGGCACTGTCTTTGTTTTTTACTTTCCACAAATGTTTCTCCTCGGCCTCCAGCAGCTTCCGCGCACCAGGAAGAAGATCTGCCTAGTAAGATATTATAGTCTGATGCTCTGTTGTGGCACTCACAGTGTAYTAAGCAAAATTAATGGCAGCACGAGAGGAGACTTGCTGGTAGTGTTTTAGAGCAGGAGGGAGGGTTTGCTATTTTAGAGGTCACAAATTGTTTCCATCTTTTAAAAAAAGACTAGATGGCTTATGAAGTGGGCCACATATAGTCGGATAATAGAGGCTGACTAGCTTTGTCATTTTAATTGTAATAATGGAGACTGTGGAGCAGCTATGTCATTAAATTTGATCATGTTTTACAGCACACAATGTCAAAACATGCATAGTAATGGGAAACCAGTCTTATCCTGTGTGTGGATGCATTAAGCTACTCAGTTTTTTTTAGTTATTTGTTACTCTGCCCTCCAGATCATAGTCAAAGATGATGCCTTGATTTTGGTCAAACTCAAATGTGTTTCTCTGAGATTGTATGTGGATGTATTTTTTAAATAATTGTATTATTTTTTTTTTATTATCATTAATAATATTGCTATTTCCCCCCCTAAAACTCTACTTGTGCACAACACCCGTTTTTTGCTTTTATTTTTTGCTTTACTGACCCGGATAAATTACTGAGCTGCAGCAGCACAGTGCATCCTAGTGGGCTAATATAAAAAATCGAATAGAGGTAAAAAGAAGAAGAAGAAAAACCTTACAGAGAGGAATGTATTGATTTATGATATAAGAAATATGGGCTCAAAAAATCATTTTCTATAATGAATTTTCCCCAGGATCAATTTRCCTCTAAAGAACAAAAGAGTATAGTAAAGTTATGGTGAGATTGTGTGATCCCTTGAAAAAATTTGTACAAGGTAGTAAAAAAAATTGAAGGATATTTAGCCTTGTTAGCAAAAAAAAAAAAAAAGGCAAAACAAACAAACAAAAAACAGCAAAGATAAATGTGTGGCTGATTTTTTCCCCCAAAAGATCTTTCGAGGTTTAACCAAAAATACCATATCTGGGGTCACAAATTTCATATTTTGTAGGTTTGGATGCTAAAAACCAAAACATCTGGACTTTTTTTTTAAATTGCTGTCAGGCATTCAAGATTCTAGTTGATTCATGGTCATACAAATGTTTTCTTTTTTTAATATAAATATAGGCCTGCTGCAGATTGAATGTTTTACCAACCTTCTTAATAAGTAACTATTGTTTATCTTTACTGTTTAGCCTTTGTGAACAAAAACTGCATGACAAATAYGCCACGTCTGCCACATGAAACACAAATCAATAACACAAAACAATTTCAAATGATTAAATCAATCAATTTATTAAAGAAACAAACATTTTTCTTAGTTTTACTGTTTGAATAAGATATTTTAATGAAGACAATTAAAAAAAATATTAGGTGTTCTTTATAAAATGATATAACCATGACAAGCTTGGTAGAAGCTGAACTTGGTGCATTTGGATTATTTTGTTGCAGGGATAGACGAAGAACACTTTTTAGAAGAGAATTTTTTATTTGTTAAATGGCTTCTTTTCCTCTGAACACTTGAACTGCAGCTTGGACGTTCACCACAGAATGATAAAACACGGTGAAGTCAGCAAAAAAACACATTTATGACACTGAACCAGGCTTAACTCAAATTACAATAAGAGCAACGTCTGCAGACATGAGGATGCCGCCAGGATGAGCAAGAGCTCCGAAGACGATTTTAAATGAAGAGAGCTCGGCAGAGGTGAAGCATCCCACACTGACTGGAGCGCGCGCAGATGAGGTGAATTCTCAAGTGGACATCTTGCTTTTTTGCCCTTCTTTTGCTGCTCAGACCTCTCGCACATCAATACCGTAAATACACATCTACTTAGTATCTGACAACGTGTGAGTACTGAGTAGTGGTGGAAGTGTTATGTAATATGAGCAGAGGGATTTTTATGGTTGAGGACAGCAGATAGTGGTTTTCCACTACATCCTTTCACTCTCCCAATCCTTCGTTCTCGCTCTCTCTCTCCACTCCATCTGTTTCTTCATTCCAGCTAATGTCTATTGAAAATAAATTGAGCTTAGATGTTGACCTGCTTTTGGAGAAGGCATGTATGAAGATGTCTGTTTTTCTCACTTGAATGCATGTAAAGGTTTACTAAAAATGTATTTGAGCAAATAAGCACAAGCCATTTTGTGCAGGTACAAATGCAGACTTTTACTTTAAGATAAATTGATATAAAAGCATACTACGGATCCAATCAGGAAGCCTAAAAGTAACAAAAAAGTGAATAGTATTAGCTAAATTTTAGCATTTACAAGCTCCTTTTATTATTTTACACATTAACCCCTTTGAGTACTAGTATGATGTGCGTGATTTGTGTGTGTGTGTGTGTGTGTGTGTGTGTGTTAGTGCTGTATGTAGGGCACATGTTGCTAAGAGAAGCAGTTCTGAATGTTTTATGCAAGTCTAAAACAGCTCTGGTTCGCAGCATGAAGAGGGAACATCTCTTCTCACCAGCTCGCACTTTGTGTGAGTGTGTGATTGCATTTTGTGTCTCTGTTTGCAAGGGTGTGTGTGTGTGTGTGTGTGTGCACTTGTAATCAAGTGAGTGTGACATCTTGAAATGATCAGATTGGATTTGGAGTATAAACGGCTGGTGTTTTGACTGCTTAGCTGCTCTTATTCTATCTTTTAAATGAGAAAACCTAAAAGGGCTTTATAATTTCTTCTCATATCTTATGAAACTGATTTAAAAAATGTAGTTTGTGAAGCAACAAGTTTTAATATAATGCACACATTGAACAAACTCTTTTAGCTTTATATCACAGAGAAAAGGAGAAATGTTACTTGACTGTGTGAGAGTCCATTTTTAATGCTTTTGAAAAYATTTAATTCCAAAACCCTAGGCAATATTAAATTATTGCATGATTGAGATTGTCATATTTTCTGCAGTGAATCAGAGTCTGATTATTCTTTGTGGTGTGTTATCTGACAGCTGAGACGTCAGCCGATTCTTATTTACATTTGATCTGCCGAAGGCTATCCAGTAATTGGTCTTCCAGCTGCCAGTTTGGATTCTGTATCTGCATAGAGTCATTAATCCTGTACTCTATTGTTTTTGCTCTATTTTTGTCCATTGACAGCATTCAGTATTATTTGTAAAAACTTTAGTCATGACAGCAGAGTATAGATTACAATTTGCAGTGTATTTACATATTATAAAACTGTTTATAACTGTGCAGTTCTTACTTTTCTTAAACATTTCACCTCTTTAAATCAATAGTCTAGAAATATAATTAGTTGCTTTTTCAGATTTATGATAAAAAACAACCTTGCACACTGAATGTAATTACTGTGACTTTGTTGCCTCACTCCTTCTCTAATAATTGATAGAAAATAAAGTCCCAAAGGAAAAACATGCCTCATGAAATTGATTTCAAGCCATATGAACAAATGTGACATGACATGTCATGGTTCTAACACTGGCATGCTATGCAGATCATTTTCTATCATTTCCTGTCATKGATGTAGCAATCCTTAGCAAATCCATGTGTGAATATGTGTTTTTAGACCAATAAAAGAGTCTTTTTTGACGGCTTATTTTAAAGATTTCAAAGTAATAATAAAGTATTTCAAATTTTTAAGATAATGTCCATCCATCCTCTATCTTGATCTGCCTTTTCCTTTTCTAATTGTGAAAATGTGTAATGGTGTGAGGCAGGAAAA